TAACCTCTACAATGTAAATGATCTCCAAAAAGTGTCTTTAATGATTAGTCATATTAGTTATCATGAATTTCTACTTTATGTGCTTTTATTACTGAATAAAGTTTCATAACCCCTTTCTCTAATTTTCTTAAGAGACTCTGGAAATTTATTGTTATATTTCAGGTGTGAATTTTTCAAAGTAATGTTATATACATTTTCAGTATTCTTTCTTAAAAAATACCCAGAAAACTAATTCAACTGGCTCATGAATATATTTACTCATATAGTCAATCAGAATCACAGATGATCAAAAGTAAGTAAAACAAAGTGGCTCATGTCTATAATTCCAGCTACTCAGGAATAAATCGAAGAGCCTAGGATTTGAGGCCAGCCCAGGCAAAACATTAGCAAGATGTAATGTCAATCAGTAAATCTGGCCATGGTGGCAAGCACCTGTCATCCCACTTACTGTAAATAGGGGGATTAAGATCCATACTAGGCTAGCTCAGGCATGCAATGTGAGACTATCATGGGAAAACAACTAATGGAAAAAGTGTTGGGACATGACTTAAGTCTTAGGGCAACTTCCTAGTAATTATGAAGTCCAAAAATGAAACTTTAGCAGTATAAATTAGTAAATAAATAAATAGAAATTCTAACACCTCTATTTAAGTCAGACCACTGAAACATAGAAAGGTCATGTCTGGTCTGGAGTCACATATGGAGTTAGCGGTAGAAATTAAACTGAAACCTTAAATGTTATTACTGTTGCTACTAAATTTATGAATTAAAATGAATCTCAAACAGTCACAGATTTTCTTTAAGAAACAAGTCGTTTAAGGATACAGGTGGTCCCGTTGCAACAATGAGAAGTACAAGTTGTCATGTCGAAAACAAACTTTACAATTTTGGTGCGGGGGAAGGAGGGGGAGAATTGGGGGGGGGGCAGGGGGGGGAGGCTGGGAAGGGATGTGAAGGGTAAACAAAGGAGGAGGCTGCAATGCTTGATAAGAAATGTACTCCTTATCTTGCCCATGTAATTGTAACCCCTCTGTACAGTATGTTCACAAAAAATAAAAAGATGACTCATATATAGTTCTGTCAATGATTCATAGCTTAAAATTCTACTGGAGAAGTAGAGAAACCAAGATTATGACGAGGGATAGCTAGAATGACTGAAAGTTAATTGTACAGAGTAAGCACTGGCCTCTTGAACAACTGTAGTATTGCATTTCACAACTGTTCCCTGAATCTTGCCTTTAATCATTGTCTTAACAGTTGAAAAAGCCAAGTGCTGATGGCTCACACCTGTAATCTTAGCTACTCAGGAGGCTGAGATTTGAGTATTGAGGTTTGAAGCTAGCACGAACAGGAAAATCTATGAGACTCTTTTTCTGAGTAAAAAAGAAAAAGCCAGAAGTGTTGCTGTGGCTCAGGTGGTAAAACCCTAGCCTTGAGCAAAGAGAGGCTCAGGGGGAGAGTCTAGTCCCCGAGTTCAAGCCCAAGGACCAGCAAAAAGAAAGAACAAAAGAACAAAAGAAGGAAGGGAGGAAGGAAGGAAGGCATGAAAGAAGGAAGGAAGGAAGGAAGAGTTGAAACAAATATTTGACTTCTTCATATTCTGATTTTCTGTACTGGTACCATCCATGCCAATGGGGACTCTGGGTTCAGGAACAATCCCCTAATTTGATCTACTGCTAGGTACCCTGGTAGTTCAATATCAGTAGTAATTGACACTTCTCAAGGTGTCTTGAGAACAACAAAACCTATGTCAAGTCTGAGTGTGTCTGACAGCATCATCAATCACATCCAGACCACCATTCACAAGGGGAGAAGAAACAGTTTTGCTGTGTACTTCAGAAACAAATCCTCTCTAAGCTTAATGAGCTAGACAATAAATCTGATGCTTTCATCTATGTTCCTATCCGGTCACTACAATGCTCTTAAAAGTATATATTAATTCTATTATGCAGATAAGAAAACTAAAAAGTATTTTGTCATTATTGAAGCTATTTTGTGAGATATTCCTCCCAGATTCCCAAAAATTTGTTGTTTTTTAAAAAATGGTTTTATCTGTTTGGGGAGATTTTTCTATAACCCCTCCTGGGTTCAGAGATTTCTAGTTATCATTACGAGGTAATATGAACCCTGTTTGTGCTGATTGTATATTCTTCCTTCCCTTTTCTTCCTTGTTATTGAAATTATAGCCATAAAAGCTAGGAAATAAAAAGAGTTCTGGTTTGTAAGACATTTAGTAACTAGTACTCTTTTGGTTTAAATGGCAGTAACTTTCATATTACCAAGGAAGTAACAGAATTGAGAAGTGAGGATTGACTTCTATAACTCAAAAGTCCAACAGGTTTGGATTCATGAGGCTCAAATGTCATCAGGATTATGGTTTGTAAACTATCCGTTTCTGTTTTTAGGTTTTGTTTCATTTGTGTTGGCTTTCTTTTCAGTCAGTCTTCACATAGTGGTAAAGTTGGTCATCAGCACCTCCATAATTTCATAAAAGTCATTGGTCCTGGTAGAATTATCCAATGGACAATTATAAAACACTCCACTAAACAATAACAGAGTACACTTTTTCTTCAGCTATCTGCAAAACACTCACAAAGATAGCAGATATACAGGTCCATAAAACAAGCATGAACCTATTTTTAAAAATTAAAATTTTAAAGAGTATTTTCTAATGTAATGGAAAAATCTTGCAATCAATAAGAGAAAGACAACAACATTTGTATAGTAGCCAGCACATTTCTAAATAATCCATAGGTCAAAGATTGGGTCTTAAAGGAAATTGGAAAAATTCCTAGACTGAATTAAAAAGAAAATATAATATATCAAGACTTGAAGTAGAAAGCTGAAAGAAAAATTAGAGCAAAAATTCTACATTTAAAAAGAGGTAAGATCTCAGATCAATAACTTAAATTTTAATATAAGAAAATACAGAAGATAAAAAAGTCCAAAAATGATCACAAAAAGAAAACATTGTAGATAAGAATATAAATTACTTAATGAATTAATAAAATTGAAAAGAAAAAACATGCAAAAATAATGAAAGTTTCTTTTAAAATTATGAAATTAATATAAAAGTAGGAAACTAATATATCTAGCAAAAGTGACAAGAACAAACAAAAAGCTGCAAATCACCAAATATTATTAATGAAACATGGTTCATAACTAAAGATAAATTCTGCAACCATTGAAAGAATCATAATAGTGCTGGGTGCATGTCATGCATCTGTAATTTCAGTACTCAGGATGATGAGGCAGGAGGACCCAAATTTAATTCAAGCCTGTGCTACAAAATAACACTATCCCAGAAAGCTTTTTAAAAGCATCAACCCAGATGCTCCTCAATAGATGAATGGATCAAGAAAATGTGGTATATTTAGACAATGGGATTTTATGCTTCTATCAGAAAGAATGATATCGCCCCACTCATAAGGAAATAGAAAGGCATGGGAAAAATCATATTAAGTGAAGTAAGCCAGACCCAAAGAAATAAAGGCTGTATAGTTTCCCTCCTTTGTAATAATTAGTATATACCTAGGTTAGTCCTGACAGAGAATCATAATAGCTCAAGAGCTATGTACATATGACCACACAAAATGATGCTAACTAAAATGAACTCCAAGACATTGAAACAACAGGTCTTTTTTTTTTTTCAGTTGTCAACCTTGATGTCACCAATGTACTGTATCTAGTCTTTCTTCTTATTTTATTTCATTTTTCTTTTTCCACTGGTTTATCCCCGGCAATCTCTGTCTTTGAGTCTAGTACCTTCCATCTTGTATATTTACCTGATTGGGAGAAAGGAAGGGAAATAACAAAATGCTGAAAGAAATTTAAAAAATGACCCATTACAACAATGATACTCATGAGACACTAGGTCAAAAATGAACATTACAACTTCATGGGGGGGGAAGAGTTGGGGGTAAGTAAGGGATAATGGGAGAACAACAATGGAATGGGAAATAATGACCAACGAGAAATGTACCATATTCATGTAAATGTAAAAAAAAGTAAAATTTTTAAAAAGCATCAAAAATTGTTGTGAGCTTTATATATAAACTTAAAATACTGAATCATCCTCACTCAAAGACAAGGCAAATATTTCAATCTCTTTTTTAAAAATTTACTTTATTGTAAAGATGCTGTACAGAGGGGTTACAGTAAGGCAATGAGTATATTTCTTGTCGAAATTCTGCCCCTATTAAGGCAAAGAAAAATGTAATTAAAGGACACAGAGATTAAAAAGGAAAGAACAAATCTGTTCTCATTTTCAAATGACATGATGGAATGAAGGTCTATACAAAATTCCCTTCTAGAATCATTACATAAGTTCAATAAAACCTTAAGATACAAAAATCAATCATATTTCTATTTACTGGAAAAATTCATTTTGGAAGCCAAAATTAATAGAATGATGGCATTTATAATCGCTTTTAGCTTTACACGTGGGTATAAACCAAACATGAAGAGGCTCAATATACCAAAAATTATTAAGTAAATGTATATATGCATATATGAAGCATAAAACTCTAAATGTGTAAGTATAAAAATTTTCATGGGAAAAAAATCCTATGGGATGTGAATCTTCACAGTAACACTGTAGACTTGACACCAAAAGTCTGACCCATCAAAGAAAAATTTGACAAACTAGACCAACATTAAATAAAAATAGCCACAACAATAAAATAGTCTTTAAAGATCCTGTGTAAAGATAGTGAGTACACTGGGGGGAAATACTTGCATACTTCATATCTCACGAAAGACTTGTACCTGGAATATGCAAAGTGCATTAAAATTCAAATATAAAGAACAAACAATCCAATGAAAAAATACATAAAAAGATATTTCATGAAATAGTTCTTCACTGAAAATGGCAAATAAGCACATAAATATCTGTTAGAGAAGTGCAATTAAATTCACAAAGAGATATCACTGCTGAGCTGCTAAGATGGCTAATTTTTTTTTTAATGACAACCTTAATGTTGGTAATAATGTGTAGTAACTACACCTCTCATATTAGAGATACAGTACTGGTACAGATAGATATCCATAAGAAAAGTCTAGTGTATCCTTAATAATCTTACTTAGCATTTAATAGCAGTTAATATCTTACTTAGCATTTAATCCAGACAAACTAAAATTTACATATACACAGAATCTTGTATGTGAATTTTCACAACAATTTTACTCATAATAGAAAAATACTACAAAATCCCTCAGGTGTACTTTAATAATCATATTGTTAAGCAGACTGAGACAGCACACTCAGACTTTAGAGCACTACTAGAAAATAAAAGAAAAGAATGAGTTGTCAATACATAAAATAACTTGAATGAATTAAAAGAAAATTATGCTGACTGAAAAAGCCACTCTGAAAAGATGACATACTATATATAATCATTCATTCCATTTATATGATATTCTGGAAATAAAGAAATAAACTTTGAAATGGAGAAACTATTCTAGGGTTAAAATTGTAGATTTGAGATTGGTGGAGGTTTTCATTGGGTAAAGCTTAAAAATAATTAGGAAGGATGTTTGACGTTTTTGGATTACTCTGTGTCTCCATTGCATCAATGTTTATTGGGATTATTCTGTATTATCCAATGCATCAATGTCTTGTTCCTGGTTAGAACAATACAAAGTTTTCCCTTTCAGGGAGACTGAATAAAAAATCCATAATTATTTCTCTGTGTATTTCTTACAGCTGCATGTGAATCTATGAATCTCAAAATAAAAATGTTTAATAAAAGAATATTTTAGATCCTAGAGATAAAAAGAAGCCTTTCTTCCAATTACTTTGAGTAATATACCAGAGAAGAATAGAAATGCTTATGTTCATGGATAATGTTGCTCTGATTGAACAGCCTGTGTCACACTGCCATTTTATGGGGAAGAATATGATATCATGAGATAGCCACACCAAATGAGACAGAGAAAATTTCTCAAAAAAACAAAACATATTCAACATAAAACTGTAAAAAGAAATCAAGCACTCTACAGTAACAGCAATGAATCAAAGGTATGTGTAGAAAAAGCCCATAGTACCAAGTCTCAACAAGCAGACATACTTATATGCAACAGTGAGCTAATCTATTGGTTGAAGTAAAGATTTCAAGAATGGCCAGTCACCAGTGACTCTTGCCTACAATATTAGCTACATAGGAGGCTGAGATCTGAGGATTGAGGTTCAAAGCCAGCCCAAACAGGAAAAGCCTGAGAGATTCTTAACCCCAATTAACCAGTAAAAAAATCAGGACTGAAGGGTAGGTCAGGTGGTAGAGTGCTAGCCTTAAGCAAAAACTTATAAAAAAGAATGGAAGGCCCTGAGTTCAAATCCAAGTATGGACACACACACACACACACACACACACACAGAGAGAGAGAGAGAGAGAGAGAGAGAGAGAGAGAGAGAGAGAGAGATTTCAGTGATGGTGATCACCAATGCTTGGAGGGTACATCAAGGAAGATGCAAATAATATTTTTCTCCCTTTTTAGCTTGTTTCTCTCAAGGTGCAACATATTTCAGAGAATGAGCAAGAACATGGCATTCACCAAAACTAAAGATTTACTCAGTACTTCTTCTATGGTCCTCTGAATTACAATTTGAGGCAAATAGTCTACAAATCATTTGTGTCTGGAGGCACATCAGGTCCTCAGTGATGATAATGTATAATGTATAAAGTTTAAGTTACCCAAGTCTGGGGCACTCATAGAGAAATTTTAGATTCTTATAAAATGGGAGATGTGTTTTTATAAAATACAGGTCTATGCACCTAGTGTACCTGTTCAATGGCACCTCAAAATACTAGTTGTGGGGCTGGGAAGGTGGCTCAGTGGTAGAGCACTTGCCTTGCATGCTCGAGGCCCTGGGTTGGATTCCTCAGCACCACATAAGCAAAAAGAAAAAAGCCGGAAGTGGTGCTGTGGCTCAAGTGGTAGAGCGCTAGCCTTCAGCTGAAGAGCTGAGGGACAGCGCCCGGGCCCAGAGATCAGGCCCCACTACCGGACCCCCCCCAAAAAAAATACTAGTTGTATCAGTTCTAGAGAAACTAAAAGATAGGCCTAAACCAGGTGTGTATAATGGAACTAGAAAAGAACAGTACTGGAGCTTGGAGTGAAAAAAAGCACCCTATTCTTGGGTCATGGACTGGGGTTTGATAAGGTAGCTCTATGGATTTGGTAATATCTGGCTTTAGTAGTATTTAGTAAAGATAAAGAGTTTCTAGGATATTCTGAGGTCAAAATCATTTCAATACTAAGAGAAAAGGAGAACTAAATTAATTGGGATGCATAAGCAGGCTGATCAAAGATTTCAGGGCTGGATATAGTAGATATTTCCAGATAGGTGACCTCAGATGATGAAATTTAAGTCATGAATTTTCTCATATTATTCCAGTACCTTTATCCAGAAGTATATTCCAAAAATTCAAGTATAGATCAGAATCTGAATAACTGTAGGAAAAGGATGGAAACAAATTTTTATTGTAAAAATACTGTACAGAGGAGTAACAGTTACATGAGTAAGGTAATGAGTACATTTCCTATCAAGCATTGCTATACCTCCTTTGTTTTACCCCTACCATCCCTTCCCTCCCGACCTGCCCAACTCCTCCCTTCTTCACTCAAAGTTGTATAGTTCGTTTTCAATGTAGTGTCTTGTACATCTCATTGTTGCAATGGGTCATCCTGTAACCTTATTTCAGCATTTTGTTATTTCCCTCCACCTCTCTAAATTAGAAAAATTCATATAGAAGATTCAGGGCACCAGAATCAAATACAGTGAAAACAGCGTCACCACATTATTCAAAGAAATAGAAGAAGCAATCCAAAAATTCACATGGAACAATAAAAGACCCAGAATAGCAAAAACAATGCTTAGCAGAAAGAACAGTGATGGAGGAATATCAATACCAAATTGCAAACACTACTACAAAGCCATGGTAATCAAAACAGCTTGGTACTGGCACAAGAACAGAACTGAGGACCAATGGAATAGAACTGAAGACACAGAAGTGAACCCACATACCTATAGCCACCTAATCTTCAATAAAAATAGAATGGAAGAAAGACAGCCTCTTCAGTAAATGGTGCTGGCAAAATTGGATAAACACCTGTAGAAAACTAAAGCTAGATCCTTATATATCACCCTGCACCAGAATCAACTCCAAATGGATCAAAGACCTCGAGGTCAAAGTAGACACCCAGAAAACATTACAGGACGGAATAGGAGAAACCTTAGGTCTCCTTGGCACAGTCTCAAATTTTCTTAATAAAGACCCAGAAACATAACAAATTAAAGAAAGTTTGGAAAAGTGGCATTGCATGAAATTGCAGAGCTTCTGCATGGCAAAGGACATAGCTAGCAAGATCAGTAGAAAGCCCACTGATTGGGGAAGATCTTCACTAGCCATATAACAGACAAGGGTCTCATATCTAAAATATACTTGGAACTCAAAAAATTAAATCCCCCAACAACAGATCCTCAAAGAAACAACTGCCCGATTAACAAATGGACTAAAGACAAACATCTCTTTACAGTATTTTTACAATAAAAAATATATACAAAAATGCCAACTAAAAAAAGAAAACGTGCAATATATACACAATGGAATTCTATGCTTCCATAAGAAAGAATGATATCACCCCACTCATAAGGAAATGGAAAGACTTGGAAAAAAATCATATTAAGTGAAGTAACCTAGAGCCAGAGAAACATAAGCTCCTTGGTTTCCCTCATTTGCAATAATTATTATATGTCTAGGAATAGTCCTAGTAGAGGATCACAAAAGCTCAATATCTATGTACATATGGGTATATAAAATGATGCTAGCAGAAATGAACTCCAACATATGGGCACAAGAAGACATTTTGTTGCTGTTGTTTTTAATATACTGTATGAAGTTATTTCTTTTTCTTTTGTTTTTTCCCCTTTGATTTATCCCCTGTAGTCATTGTTTTTGATTCTGCTACCCTGTATCTTGTATATATGTTTATCTTATGTGGAGACAGGCAAGGGAAGAACAACATGGTAAAACAAAGGACAAAGAGTAAACCAATCTAATAGTGTTACTCTCAAGACACTATGTTGGAAATGAACTTTACAACTTGGGAAGGAAGGCAGTGGTGGGGGGAGGTGGGGAAGGAAAGTGGGAGAAAATGAGGGAGGGGGTAACAATGTTCTACAAGATATGTACTTATTACTTTACTTAGGTAACTGCAACCCCTCTATCCATTACCTTTACAATAAATTAAGTTAAACTAAAAAAGAAAATAGAGATTTGTTGGATCGCAGTTCAAGGCCATTCTGGGCAACCAATAATGCAGGCATAATGTCACTTGTCTAAAATTCAAGCTGTATGAGAGGATCACAGATAAGAGGATCACAGACTGACACCATCCCTGGACAAAAACACAAGTTCTTATCAAAATTTAATTAAAGCAAAAAAAAAGGATTAGGGGCATGCTTCGAGTGTTAAAACACTTTCTTGGCAAGCATAAGCCCTTGAGTTCAACCTCACTACTGCCAAAGGGAGAACAAATAATCTAATTATAATTGTACGAGTGAGTTGGCTAGATATTTCTCAAAAGTGTAAGTACAAATTGCTAATAAATAGATGAAGAAATTTTCAGTATACTTATCCTAAAGGAAACGCAAAGTCGTCAGGTGCTCAATCCTTAATCCTTGCTACTTGGAAGGTGAGGATTGGGGATTTGGGTTCAAAGCTAGCTCAGGCAAAAAGGAGTTTGAGATACTCCATTTCAACCAATGGCATGAGCCTGTCTTCCCTCCAACATGGGAAAGCAAAAGAAGGATCACAAGACAGCCCAGGAAAAAATTGTGACCTTAGCTTTAAAATAACCAATGTAAAAGCCATCTGGGGGCATGGCTTAAGTGTTAGAGCACCTGGCTAGCAAGTAAAAGACCTTGACTTTAATCTTAGTACTACCCCTCTGAAAAAAGATTTAAAAATCGAAACAGCACTCACCCATATCAGTGTTGCTATCATCAGCAAAACAATGCTAGCAAGAATGTGAGGACAAAGGAACTCATACACTATTTTTGAGAATGTGATTTAGTACATATGGAAATAAATATGAAGATTCTTCAGAAAACTACAAAAGAATTATATTTAACCCTGCTGTACCACTGGGCACATATCCAAAAGCATGTAACTCAACATACAATAGCGGAACCTATGCACCCAAGTTTATTGCAGTACTAGTCATAATATCCATAATTATCAGTGCCCAACAAGTGATAAAGGGATAAGAAAATGTGAAGTGAGTTTGAGTGTGTGTGTGGGAGGGTGCGCACAATGGAATATCATTTAGGCACAATTAAATTGTGTCATTTGTAGGAAAATGGACAGTACTAAAGATCATCATTTTAAATGATAATAAAAACAAATATCACATGGTTTCTCTCATATACAGAATCTAGAACTGAAAAAAGTGGCATGAATATAATGAGGGACATGTTTGAGAATAGAGAGAGGAAAGGGCAAAGCATGATGATGTGAGTGTGAATGTGATCAAATTAATTGATATTTGTGTATGAAAATAGAATAACAAAACCTATTAAAATTGGAAAACAGGGCAGCAGAATTAAAGAAAGTAATAGTAGAGGTGGTGAATTTGATCAAACTACATTATATGCATGTATAGAAATATCACAGCTAAACATTTTGTACAATTAGTAAATAAAGAAAATACTGTGAAAATATCATACAGAGGGGTTACAATGACATGGGCAAGGTAATGAGTACATTTCTTATCAAGCATTGTTGCCTCCTACTTTGTTTCCCTTTCCCATCCCTTCCCATCTCCCCCCTCCCCCCACCCCCCATCCCCACCCTCCGTGAACCAAAGTTGTAAAGTTCATTTTTCGACATAACGTCTTGTACATCTCATTGTTGCAATGGGTCCACCTGTATCCCTATTTAAACAATTTGTTCTTTCCCTTCCCCTCCACAAAGTATACCAACATCAAATAGAGTGAAAACAGGGGTTTTATCGTGGGGGAGGGACATACAAAGCAACAAAGAAATCATCTTATAAATGAGTTAGAAACATTCGCAAGAAAGAACAAACATTTGAATACTTACCTTGGGGTTCATTTCGCCTAACATCAACTTATCTGACCTTTTCTGCTTGTCTCAGACATATACTAGTAATTGCAAATAGGGGAAACCATTAATATAATTTTTTCAAAGTCTTTCCATTTCCTAACAAATGGGGCAATGTCATTCTTTCTGATGGAGGCATAGAATTCCATTGTGTACATATACCACATTTTCTTAATCCATTCATCTACAGAGGGGCATCTGTGTTGGTTCCATATCTTAGCTATGGTAAATAATGCTGCAGTAAACATAGTTGCACTGGTAGTCTTACTATGGTCTTGTCTGTGATCATTTGGGTAAATGCACAAAAGTGGGATTGCTAGGTCATAGGGAAGCTCTATGTGGAGTCTTTTGAGGAACCTCCATACTACTTTCCAAAGTGGTTGAACAAGTTTACACTCCCACCAACAATGCAATAAGGTTCCCTTGTGCCCACATCCCCTCCAGCATCTGTTGTTATTAGAGTTCTTGATTATAGCCATTCTAACTGGGGTGAGGTGGTATCTCAATGTTGTTTTGGTTTGCATTTCCTTTATGGCTAGAGAGGTTGAGCCTTTCTTCATGTGTCTATTGGCCATCCTTCTTTCCTCTTCAGAGAAGTTTCTCTTTTAAGTCTTTAGCCCACTTATTTATTGGGCAGTTGTTTCTTTGAGGATTTGTTGTTGGGGGATTTAATTTTTTGAGTTCCAGGTATATTTTAGATATGAGACCCTTGTCCGTTGTATAGCTAGTGAAGATCTTCTCCCAATCTGTGGGCTTTCTATTGTTCTTGCTATCTTTGTCCTTTGCCATGCAGAAGCTCTGCAATTTAATGCAATCACATTTGTCCAACCTTTCTTTGATTTGTCGTGTTTCGGGGTCTCTATTAAGAAAATTTCGGCCTGTGCCAAGGAGACCTAGG